CTTTTCCTACCCATGGAGAAGCTGGAAACTAGGATTTCCTTCCAATTGTATGACACTGTGTTGAGGGTAGGAATCCTGGCAGGGGACTGTCTTGAATTTTTCTACTGACTTTGATGTGTCTGGTTTCACATTTACTCTGGATGTAGGAGTCTTTGAAGTAGTTCTGGATTAATTACAAATGAAATTTGTCTGTGTATTGTTTTTAAGTTGGTGAGTTTTATCATTTTGCTGATGTCACCCTATCACTTAATTTTTATAAATTGGGAAAAATATGCCTGGCCGATGTGGCTCAGTAGATTGAGTGTCGTCCCATGGACTGAGAAGTCCTGGTTCTATTCCTGGTCAGGGCAAATGCCCTGGTTGTGGGCTAGATCTCCAGTGGGGGGCTTGCAGCAGGCAGTCGATCAATATTTCTTTTTTTCTCACATCGATGTTTCTTTCTCTCTTTCTTCCTCTCTCTCTAAAAAATCAATAAAATATATTTTTTTAAATGGGAAAAATATAAAACATTCCTTTTGAAAACAAAGTTATCTGATATTGATGGGTCTTTGAATTGGACATTGGAATTATAGGCAAACTCTAACACCTTTATCTTACTATTAAAGCGCATATCTCCAGTTCTTTGGAATACTTTAAGTTTGGAATATTTTATAGTCTGTTAGGATAATTAATGTCTTTTATTGCTGTATATCAAATATTGCTTTAATGATAGCCTTCAATTGTGTTTCTTAGAGATTGAAGTGGGAAATATTTTATTTCTCTTGTGATTAACACTTTTAGTCTGAAAAGTAATGCATAAATATGCTTTGGTCTTTGTAGCAAATAAATCTCATAATAGATAATTACTGAATTTGTAAAGTCTGTTGAAATGTTTAAAAAATTTTTTAAAATTGATTTTGGAGAAAAAGGAAGGGAGAAGGAGAGCGAGATAGAAACATTGATGAGAGAGAACATCAGTTGTCTGCCTCCTGCATGCCCCCCACTGGGGATTGGGCCTACAACCTGGGCATGTGCCCTGACTGGGAATCGAATCGGCGACCTCTTGGTGCACTGAGCCACCCTGGCTGGGCTGTTAAAATGTTTATCTTCCAGTTTTCAGAATTGTTTTAACTGCTAGGTGGGTTGTGCTTTTTGAAATGGTAGCTTATGATTTTAGTTAAAATTCAACTTATTTTTTATCAGTTATCTTAGAAGACTATCTTGCTTGTTTGTCTCAGTTTATATTTATATTATGAATCTTGATTTGTTCTTGAAGGACATATTTCTGTGTGTGTTTAGAATTCAGCATCAAATAATTATTTCTGTATAGATATGTGTGTGTGTGTGTGTGTATATATACACACACATAAATGCATATATATAACATTTTATACATCAGCACACATATATTACACATATCATGCATATATACATACGTATTTATATATGTATAAACATGAGTCACATATTTATGTTTGTTATAAACATTTGTGTATTCCTGTTTATACACATATATACATGTAAATCCATATATGTAAATCCAGGACAAAGTACCTTGGATTCTTTCTAACTTAGAGTACTCAAAAATCTTAATTATATTGTAATCTCCACCCCTAGTCACATGGCAGATAGCTGTGTATGTGTTCCTGGAACAGCTTGTACACATCTTTGGCAGCCAGGTCGAGCAAAGAGAACACTGTCCTCCAAATATCAGGAATCTGTATTCTGGTCGCTGAATGTTGCTTTTGATCCTAGAGGTGCAGGGAAAGCAGTGGGGAGCCATTGTTGTTGTGCCTTCCCCCATTATTTCAAGTCTCTCTCCCTCTGGCTGAAGTGACTTCTAGGAGACTTAGAGATCTGATGTCCTCCCCTTCACTTTTTTTTACTTTTCATTTTTCCTTTTGAGAGGCAGACATTAAAGAGTGTGATATTAAAAAATAACTGTATATATGGGAAAGTTAGAAAGTGACTGCACAGACCAGGGAAAGGCTCAGAGAAAAACCTGAGAAGACATTAAGTTTCCACTTTAGGTTGATCCTCAGCACAGAGACAGCCTACCACAATAAAGTACATACATACATACAAAAAACAGCCAACTGTGGGGAAGGGGTAGAATCTGATATCCAGAAATACATCGTTATTAGGTTCAAATGTCCAGTGTTCAAAAAAAATTCACAAATTATACAAAGAAACAGGAAAGTATGGCCCATTATAGGAAAAAAATAAGTCAACCAAAATTTTCCCTGAAAAAGACCTAATGTCAGATACACTAGACAAGACTTTAAAACAGTTGTTCTAAAGATGCTTGGATAACTGAAGGAAGTTGTGGAGAAAGTTAAGTGATTATTAATGAAGTAAAGATATCAATGTAGAGATAGAAAACCTAAAAAGAAACCAACAAGAAATTCTGAAGCTGAAAAATATAATAATATAAATGTGAGAGTCACTAGATAGATTCAAAAGCAGGTTTGAACAAGCAGAAAAAAGAATTAGTGAACTTGAAGCTAGGACAATAAAAATTTTTGTTGCCTAGGAACAGAAAAAAAGAAAGAAAAGTGAACAGATTTTAAGGGACCTATGGGACACCATCAAGTGGACCATCATATACATTGTGGAAGGCCCAGAAGGAGAAGAGAAAGATTAAAGTACAGAGAGAATATTTGAAGGAATAATAGCTGAAAACTTCCCAAATTTGATGCAATGTATATGGATATAAACATCCAAGAACTTGCCAGTTATGGGATGAGCCATCTTGGGAACGGATTCGCAGCCCCAGATCAAGCTGTACCAGCTGATGCTTCATGGAGCAATCCCCATTGAGCCAAAAGCACAGACTTGTGAGCAAAATCTATGATTATCATCATTTTAAGTCACTAGGTTTTGGGGTGACTTCTTATGCAATAATAAGACATTGGGAAAAAGAAGACTGAGAGTTCAAGTTTGGCCATTCCAAATATGAGATGCCTATGATATATCCAAATGGAGGTTCAAATAGGCGATTGGTTCTATGTAGCCCCAGAGAAGTCAGGGCCAGAATAGACATTTTGATGTCACAGAATAAAGACATGAAACTGATTGAGGTCACCTGGGGAAGGTATGTAGACAAAAGAAGACCAAGGAGCTCTGAATTCTGGGATATCTGGGGCATAGGGACCAGGACTTGGAGGAGCTGCTCTTTAAGTAAACAGGAAGAGGTCAGAGCTGAGTTTCACCCTCCCTCCAAGAGCTTGTTCCATGGAAGTGGAATCTGCACAAGTCCTTCCAGCTGTGGGTATTGTTCTTGAGCCATTTACTCAAGTGCCACGTTTATGGACGTAGCCAAGTTTCCCTTGAGTTTCCTATGCTAATAAAAGTGTTTGCTTTTTCCAAAAAAAAGACATTCAAGAAGCTCAGTGAACTCAAGGTAAGATGAACCAGTGAGACTCACACCAAGATACATTATAATCAAACTTAAAAAAATATATATATATATGTATGTGTATATATATACATATATACACACACACACATATATATAAAGAATAAATTTTGAAAGCAGCAAGAGAGAAGTGAAGCATTACATTCAAGAGAGCCTCAGTAAGATCTTCAGCAGATTTTTCATCAGAAACTTTGGAGACCGTAAGATAGTGCTTGATATAGTCAAAGTGTTAAAACAAAACAAAAAAAACAACCTGTCACTCAAGAATTTTATATCTATCAAAACTGTCTTTTAAAAATGACATTTCTAGTTAAAAAGTTGAAGGGGTTTGTGACCACTAGACCTGCCCTGTAAAGAACTGCTCAACCGCCCTGGCCGGTTTGGCTCAGCGGTTGGAGCGTCCGCCTGCTGTCCCGAGAGACCCGGGTTCGGTTCCCGCTAAGGGCATGTACCTCGGTTGCAGTTTGTCCCCGGCCCTGGTTGGTCATGCGGGTGGCAGCCACTCGATGTGTCCCTTTCACATCGATGTTTCCCTCTCTCTCTCTCTCTTCCTCTCTTTCCCTCCCACTCTGTCTGTACAAAAAATGGAAAAATGTCCTCGGATGAGGATAAAAAATAAAAAAATAAAAATAAAAATAAAGAACTGCTCAACTGCCCTGGCTGGTTTGGCTCAGTGGTTAGAGTGTCGGCTCGCAGACCAGACAGTCCCGGGTTCACTCCCCACTAAGGACATGTACCTTGGTTGCAATTTGTCACCGGCCTCAGCTGGGGTTGTGTGGGTGGCAACCAGTCGATGTGTCTCTCTCACATCAATGTTTATTTCTCTCTCTCTCTCTTCCCCCCTCTCTTCTCCAGCTCTATCTGAAGATAAATGCAAAAATATCCTCGGTCAAGGAATAAATAAATAAAAAATAAATTAAAAAATAAAATAAAATTAATGAACTAGATATATACAGAACACCCTACCCAACAACAGCATACGCGTTCTTCTCAATAGCATTTAGAACATTTTTCTTTATAGATCGTATGTTAGGCCACAGGTGAAGTTTCAGTAGATTAAAATAGATAATCATACAAAGTATCTTCTTTGACCACAGTGAGATTAGGTTGAAATTAATAAAAAAAGTAGAACTAGAAAATTCACAAAATTGTGGAAATTAAACAATATACTTTTAAACAATCAATGGATTAAAAAAATCACAAGGGAAATGAATAAATACTAGAGATGAATGAAAACAAAACTAGAACATAACAAAAGTTATGGGAATACAGTGAAATCAGTGCTAAAGGTGAAATTTGTAGCTATAAATACTTAAAAAATGTGAAAGATCTCAAACAAAAAACCTAAATTTACAACGTAAACTCTTTGAGAGTGGTATTATTGTAAATATTGTGTAGGGGTAGGGACAAGTGGGAAGGTTGGCATTCTTTTTTTGAGTTCTATAATACCATATTGTTTGAATGTTTTTTAAGCAATGAGTGTATTCTCCTTTTATTAAAATGATAGAAAATATTTTTATAACATGTAATGACATAGAGGTAAACTTTTAAAGATGTCCTCATAATTAAACTCGTTGTGTGCTTTTATTAATTTTGGTTTTAGGCTTGTGTGGATGTCAGAGCCAGTGCAGTGTTTTGGCAGCAGATGGAACTGGCAGATGCCCTCTCTGGTCATCCCAAGTTGCCAGAATGGTTATCCACACACCCTTCTCATGGAAATCGAGTTGAGCACTTGGATAGACTCATACCTGAGGTGAGCTAATACTATATGAGGCAAGATATTATTTTTACTGTATCATTTATTTTTTTTAATTTTTTTGGCGTTTTTTTGTTTTTTGCATATTTTTATTTTATTTTATTTATTTATTTTGTTATAGATGTTTCTCCTTTTTTACCCCATTGGCACCCCCCTCCCCACCCCATACCTGCCCCATCCCCGGCTTAGTTGTCCATGTCCATTGGTCATGCATACATACATATAAGTTCTGTGCTTTACCTCTTCCCACCCCCCCCCCCTTCTGACAGATGTCAGTCTGTGCCCTACTTACATGTTTCTGGGTCTACCGTATTCCTCAGACTGTTATGTTCAGTATATTCCATATATAAGTGAGATCATGTGGTATTTGTCTTTTTCTGCTTGGCTTATTTCACTTAGGATAATACTTTCCAGGTCCCTCCATGTTATCTCAAAGGATAAGAGATCTTTCTTTCTTACAGCTGCATAGTACTCCATTGTGTATATGTACCACTTTAATGCTGTTACTTCTTGGGGAAAGACTTCTAGGTTGTCAACTGTTTTGATTACTGTAATAATGGATTAAAAGTTTTCAAAGGATTTGACTGAAAAGTAAAATCCTGCTTGTCCTCAAGTCTTGGGGAATAAATAGCTGTGTAGAGTTGACTTTTCTTGATGGTGAACTTTAAGCTTTTTAGTATCACACCCTTTAATTTTTTTTTATTTGGTGAAAGTCTAAAACTCAAGGTATATTTTTTCAACATATTGGTTATAAATTAATCTTTTCTTAGTGATTTAAGCTTATTGTTAACAAACAAACAAAAAACTCCAGTTAATGACTTGTACAAAATTTTGGGGTCAAATGGATATTAATTCCAATTATGATCCTAGAATTCTTAGGGAAAAAAATAACTTGATATCAGTATGCTTTCTGGTTATTTATTTCTTGAAAAGATAGAATAAAGCATGTGTGGCTTTTTGCTTTTTTGGAGACAGAATCATTAATGAATAAAACTAAAGCGGCTTTTTCCCAAGTAATTTTCACTGTCTTCTAAAAATCTTTTTATTTGTTAACATTATTTAAAATGCTTTCTGTGGTATCTGCATCAGTACGAGATGGATGTCAGACATCTCCAATCCAGGCTATGTGCTCTTTCTGTCAGCATGACTTCACGTTTAGCTTAACAAATACCGAGTACCTATTCTAAGGAAGAAATACTGGTAGATTCAGGGGATACAAAGATAATTAAGACATGGTTTTTTATATTTTCAGGATGCCATTGTAAGTACAAAATGATTCTTAATACAACAAGGAATATTTTTTGTTATAAGAAAAGTAGAAATATAGTGGGATGCAGTTTGAAGGAATAGCCTGCATTGAGTTTGGGATAAGAAACTGCCATGATATTTAATCATTGACTCATGTGATTCATATTGGAACCCACTGATAGTTTACCATTCTGTAGTCTGTTGCTGGGAACAGTACAGTCTCTGCTTTCTTGGCGCTGACATTCTTGTTAATATAAGTAGTAAACAAGCAAACATATAGTATGTCAAGCAGTGATGAACACATTGGGGACAAATAAGGCAGGTTAAAGGTAGCAGAGAGGGCTGTGCAGCAGAGATGGTGTACTAGTCTATGTTCATCTGTCAGAGAAGGCCTTACCTAACAAAGTCTGGTAAGAAGCAGGGGGCCAGGTCCTGTGGGTATCTGGAGAGAGAGTCTTCAGGCTGAGGAAGCGGCAAATGCATAGGACCTGAAGGGAGAGTATGGTTGGTGAGTTCAAGGAATGGCAAGGAAGACACTGGGCTGAGTGAGTCAAGGAGGGGGAGAGTGGTTGAGGTATGGGAGGACCAGACCATGAAGGGTCTTCCAAACCATTGTAAGGACTTAACTTTTATTCCAAGTGGTGTGGGAAACTAGTAGAAGGCTGGAGCAGAGGAGTACCTTGATCTCTAGAGCTGACTCTTATGACGACTCGTGTGTTGTATAGTGGTCATGCGGGAGGGGGCCTCCTGTGTAGAGCATGGACTGTACTGGGGCAAAGGTGGAACCAGGGAGACTGTTATGAGGCTCTTGCAATAATCCTGTCATGAGATTGTAGAGGCAGAAGAGAGGGAATGAAGTGCTCAGGTTGGGAATATATTTTGAAAGGAGTCATGACAGGATTTGTTACTAGTTTGAGTAAATTTTGTACCTTTCATGGGCATTGGGGCCAGCCGGACATGGATTCTTAAGAACTATCCTAAATATATTTCATTTACACCTTTAATTTGAAGAAAAAAAATATTTGAGAAAAAAAATAGCAGTGACATTTACTTGAAACACTCTAGTAATCATTCATCTTAAAAGTGCAACATAGGACTGGGACAGGCTGTGTCTCCTCAGTGACTGTTTGCACTGAAGATCACCGACTCTCAGAGCCTTCCTCCTGCCGCCCGAGACCCAGGGGCTTACTTAGATCACCCCAGGAGGCTGAGCCTGTTTCTAAAGCCAGACTAGCCACATGGGTTTCTCTTGGGATTCCCTTTCTTTTTATGTTTGCTCAGCGAAATTCTAAAAATATGTGGTTTACTTAAATTGGATAATGAATTATAGCCAACTTTCATCTAAATTCTGAGTTGTCATTTCATCATCAAAGATAACTAAAGATCTTTAGAGAAGTAAAAATGTGCTTTAGAGAAGTCTTTAAAATAATAATGAATTGAGTAGTGAGTATGAAGAAAAATGATTGGAGAAATAAATGTATTATTTGGGCACCAATGATGAAGAAAAATATTGGGAGATGTTTGTTTTTTTTTTTCCAAAAATAAGCTATCCTAGTTCAGAGACTTAAATTGAAAACCTTATATAATTTCTTATATTTTCTCCCCAAGTGATTAAATTCAATTTGAAAGTAATAAAACTCTACTACAATATTGGGAATAATTCAGTAGTTGAATTGAAACTTATAGTCAGTGTAAGAGTATATTGTTAATTAGAATATATAGCCATAATTTAGAGATTGGAATTCCCTGCTATAATTTCTAATTTCTCTAATAAAAGAAAGCAAATACTCAGGCAGTATATAGAATTATGTCAGTCTATATATTACTAAAGACTACATTTTTTTTATTTAAGATTTTTTTCTACTTCTATTAGTACAATAAGTTCTACATCCTAATGTTCTTAATCTCTGACATTTCTGACAATATGCCCGAAGTGATGTACATCTCAAAGGTAGCTGGAATTACAGCATCAGAGCACAGAGATCTAGGCCAGATTTGAGGTTTTCAGAGTGACCCCAAAAAGGTGATAGTTGAAGCAGTGAGAGTAGATCAGTTCACTGAGGGAGTAAGCAGAGGAAAAGATCCCATTTAGGGTTAACAGTATTAGGTGGGTTCCGCATTTCAGTGGTGCAAGGAAGACAGAGCCTGTAGTAGGTCGGATTCATAGGAGGAGAAAAGATCAAGAAAATCAGGAAAGGAAAATTCTTTGGTTCCTTGAGAACACAAATATTGGTAATTTTGTTTTTTTTAAAATGTAACTTAGTCAAGATTGTATATTTTTATTTCTTATTGGAGTCCTCGAATATCATCACAGAAATGTATTTTTACTAAATATATCAACATTTAAGGTATTTTAAAACTGTGTTTTATGCACTTAACAAATATTTATTAGCCATCAATTATGTGCCAGATTGTAGGTGCTAGAGGTGCTGTGAACTAAATAAACAAAAAACTCTGCCCTTATGAAGCTTATTTTGCAGTAAAGAGAGACAGCCAATACATAGAATAAATTAGTAATATATAGAATAAATCACTAATATGTTATTATATGTTAGTAATGAGTATTAGGGAGGAAAACAAAGGTGGAAGAAATTAGTAATATATAGAATAAATCACTAATATGTTATTATATGTTAGTAATGAGTATTAGGGAGGAAAACAAAGGTGGAAGAACAGTGTATTAGCTTGGACTGCCATAACAAAATACCGTAGACTGGGTGGGTTCAGCAACGGGAATGCATTGCTTCGGAGTTCTGAAGGCTAGAAATCCAATGTTAAGGCCCTGGCCCATTTGATTTCTGGTGAGATCTCTTTTCCTGCAGATGGCTGCCTTCTCGCTTTGTGCTCACATTGTGGAGAGAGTGAACACACTGGTGTCTCTTCCTCTTCTAAGCGTAGTAATCCTTCCCATCTTGAGTGCCCCACCCTCATCACCTCATGGAAACCTAATCACCCCCAAAGGCTCCATCCCCCAATACATTAGGGGTTAGGGTTTTCACATACGAATCTGTAGGGGAAACACTCCAGTCCATGGCAAAAATGTAATGTGTGAGCAGAGATGGCAGAAGTGCTGGACTAGCTGTTTGAAAGGGGGTTGATCAGAGAAGGTATCACTGAAAAGAGGGTATTTGAAATAAGACTTGAAATAAGTGAAAGAGTCTTTCCCTGGGGAGTTGAGGGGTGGGTGGGGGTAAGCGCCTTCCAGGTTAGAAGTAGTAAGTGCAATGCTCTGAGGAAGTCTGGAGTTGAGGAGCAGCAAGAAAGCCAGTGTGGCTGGAATGGAGTGAGCAAGGGCAAGTGGAGGGCGCGGCCTGTAGCCCCGTGCGGACTTCGACTTTTGTTCAGAGAGAGAACACCAGCGAAGGGTTTTCAGCAGAGGACTAGAGTAGCAGGAACTGACTTACAAAGGATGTGGTCTGCAGTGCCTATAAGGTAGTACAATCACAGAATTTTGGAGTGTTTTAGTATAGTATATTGTTTAGAAAACAGACTAGTTCCTCTTTTTGTTTTGTTTTTAAATCAAGAAAATGCCCCCACAGTAGAAAACAATTTATTTCTGCTACTTTTTTAATGTGAATTCTGAGATAAAGCATGTGTAAATGCCTAGGTCAGTATAATCCTGTGATCCACTACCATTTAAAAAGGATAAATATCCCTGGCCAGCTGGGCTCATCAGTACAGCGTTGGCCCACAGACCAATGAATCTTGGGTTTGATTTTAGTCAAGGGCACATACCTCAGTTGCAGTTC